GCGTAAAGCCAAAGGTTCCACGACAGCTTGAGATCGGCAGTATCTGCAGCGTAGCACTTTCAGATAATTCCTGCGAAAACTCTTGTTTATGACTCCATAAATTAAAGGATTCAAGGCGCTGCTTATAGTGGCCAAAAACGTATATGCCACATAAACCTCAGAAGGAAAATTATATCTTTGGGAAATCGTATCCACAAAGTCAATTGTTAAGATTGGAATCCAACAGAGATTAAAGAAAACAACGATTATAAGTAAGGTGCGAGCCACCTTAACTTCCTCTACGTTTACTGAACTTATTGGATTTCCAGGAAGATTAAAATTGCTATAATTGTGGTTGCGAACAGTTGTAAAGACTCTAAAGTAGCAGTAAACAATAACACAGGTTGGAATACCAATATAAAGCGGAATACCATAGGCCACGAATGCCCCTTTTTTGATTGGAAAAAAACNCATCCGATCTCTTGACGGCCAAATGGACTATTTTCAGATACTCTCAACGGTCATGCAGGGTGACATTAAGGCACCATCTCTATTTGTCATCATGCTCGATTACGATAAAAGACCCATAAATTATAGAGAAGGAGCAGTGACAGCATTGTGCTTCTGTTCGATGAAATTAGGCAAGCAAGGCATCTTATACGCAATGTAGAGATAAGTAAGGTGGGGCTGCTGCTGTACGCAAAGGCTATTTATTTTAATTAGGATAAAGAGGATATATTGACAAATGATGGCAGACACGGGATTAAGATTTCAACTACCTGGTCAATGTGATTTTAAAAATAATGGCTGTCAAAGCGAGGTTGCTATGGTAATGTGAATGTTGAAGCGCACGACAAGACGACTTTAAAATATTCCCAGGTAATTTTTAGAACTTTTACGTGAGGGGGGAGGGTTCAAAAGCCCTCCCGGTCAAAAAAGGGTTAAATTCGCAAAGCACTGGCCTGGCATAATCACTGACAAAAATGACGATCATTTGGAAAAATGACTCGGCCGAGATAAGATCAAGCTGAAATTATTCAGTTGTAGTTATTTAATATTATATAATACTATGGATAAATGATACATGTTTGTCTCAAAGCTATGATATTTCTTTTCTCAATAGCGTCGGTTTCTTAGCGAGGTTATAACAGTAAACAAAATAGAAGAGACTGACGTGACACCACCCTTACAGTTCCCATTTATCCATTCTGATCTTCCAATGGTAACGTCCCCACAACATTCGTCATTCCGCGTAAAGCCAAAGGTTCCACGACAGCTTGAGATCGGCAGTATCTGCAGCGTAGCACTTTCAGATAATTCCTGCGAAAACTCTTGTTTATGACTCCATAAATTAAAGGATTCAAGGCGCTGCTTATAGTGGCCAAAAACGTATATGCCACATAAACCTCAGAAGGAAAATTATATCTTTGGGAAATCGTATCCACAAAGTCAATTGTTAAGATTGGAATCCAACAGAGATTAAAGAAAACAACGATTATAAGTAAGGTGCGAGCCACCTTAACTTCCTCTACGTTTACTGAACTTATTGGATTTCCAGGAAGATTAAAATTGCTATAATTGTGGTTGCGAACAGTTGTAAAGACTCTAAAGTAGCAGTAAACAATAACACAGGTTGGAATACCAATATAAAGCGGAATACCATAGGCCACGAATGCCCCTTTTTTGATTGGAAAAAAACAAAAGAACTTGGAAGGAAGAAAGACTATTTTGTTTCCACTTAGCACGTAAATTAATGGAGCACAAATGGAATACAACCAGGACACAAGAATAATAATTAGCGTTTTCTTCTTGGTGAAGTAGCGTCGGTACTTTGTGGGTTTTACAATTCTGTAATATCTGTTCACTGCCATCAAGACCAATGTGTGAATCGATGCCGCAGCCAACATACCAACTACGTAACCTTGAAATTGGCAGGTTGTGTCGTTAAACGGCCAATGGGAAGTCACTAATGTTGGAATGGATAATGGAGCTACACTGAAAACTCCTATTAATAAGTCGGAAACAGCGAGTGACGCCACGAACATGTTTGGAATTGTTCTCATCCGTCGGTTTAACATCATAACCAAGAGCGTTAGACAGTTTCCAACAAACAGGAACAATACAATAAGAACGTATAAACCTGATTCTAGAATCACTTTGGTTTTGTTTCTTGATTTAAACTCTCTTGACATTTGTGCCATTTGGTTCTCTGTGGAGTCCATTTTCTGTAGCGTTTAACCCGTTCCTGGTAAATAGAAAAATACACTCAAAGAGTCAAACGAGGTCGGTGAAAGGGCTGAGGTATTATTGTTCCAACAGGCGGACTAAGCCATCCACTAGGATCAATGTTCTCTAAAACAGCTTCCTTGTGGCACAGTCCAGGTCACTTTTCACTGTAGATTGAAACTAATGCTTTATAGAACTGAGCTGTGAGATCGACTATTGTACCGCCTCTAACTGCAATTGATCCGCGAATCCACTATTTATATCCTAGTTTTAATAAACGTGGGGCAGGTGTTTCTGCGACAAGTGAGATGGATTTTGCTGAAAAAGTCAGGCAGAACAACACTAACAATTTAAGAAAGCAATAAAACGATAATTTCCTGTCCGTTCTCAAAACACCATAAAAACGTTCACCCGCCTCAACTGAACGTCATCAGACACAATGAAAATGTGAATTTAAGAAGGAATATATCGTATTCTGTAGGGTCTCGAGAGGGTTGAAAATGTGTCTGCAATTGCCTTTATTCAAAGTGGGGCTTTCGTAACCGGATCTCAATAGAGAGGAGAAGTGTAACGTCAGTTTACCATGGTAGCAAGATTTGTGGATGTCAACAATCTTTCTTGACAGAGACGGCCATATGGTTTTCGAACGATGGAAGAAAAGTATGGTCTAACGTTTTGTTCCTGAGTGCAATCATGATGCACTGGAAAGTCATACATCTCAATTATTTTTTATCTGTCTGCCATATTTGCAGGACCACGGTTTTATTGAGATCCAGATATTTTGTTACCATGGTTTTTCATAAAACGTATTGCTTTCAGGGGCAAGAAGTTCTGTTTCGCTGGAATCATGAATTGCTGGTTTTCAGCCCTCGCTGGTTGACTATACTTATCGTCAGTTATTTGTATGTTATTTTATTCACTCATTCAACTCTTAACTTCTCATAGAAGCCGAACACCTGGTGTTTGCCTCTGCCGTTTTCAGTCATTTTAACGTAGTTTAATTACTCTATAAGACGGAAACCTCTCTAAGATGAACAAAGTACACTTTGAAACCACCAAAGAAAACTTGGGAAGTGATTTTTCTGTTGAAAAAATACCATTACCTTATATTAAATTCGAAATTTGTGCGGTCCTGAAATTTCGATCTGGGGAAGTAAAATTCGTTTTTTATTACTATTATCTGTAAATTTATCTTGGTCTTTTTAGATGTTAAAGTTTATTTTTTGTACATATATTAATATTTTTTAGCTTTGTAACTAATTTACCTCGTTATTTTTAGCTTTTAAGTTTTACGTTTTTTAAAAAGCATAATCATTGTAATAGCCCTGTGAAAGCGTAGCTGAATAGCGCGATACAAATTATTATTATTATTATTATTATTATTATCATCATTATTTTATTTTTGTTCTAGTTTGTATCTAGGTTTTGCTGTATAAGGTACTACTCTAAAAACAGACCTAAAACATTCGTGTATTCATCGTGCAAAGGTTAAGCTTTATTATCTAAGAACAACTGGTGTCGTGTTACCTCGACTCTCCTCTATAAACCGGACACCTCTCTAAGACAGACGGTTATGGCCGATACCAATGGTATCCGTCAAGATTAGAGAAAGTTGATTGTATAACACAAGAAAAACTCCTCAGGGGCTTAAATGATGGATAATGCCTGCGCTCCAAGCACAACACCAGGTTATCATTTTTAAGAAAGCCGAGAGACAAGAACATTATCCGATTTAATGCACCTTTCCATTGTTTCAGAACCAGCTGGTCATTATACATGTATGAGAGGTGGAACAGGAGGTCTTTAATAATAACAATGACCTGTCCTGTTTCAATAATGACCTTACAACTTACTACTCTATTTAATAGACCCAAGCCTTTATTTGAGTCCGGTTGTTGAATCGATGAACTACTCAGGAAAGAATCATCAAATTTGATTAAAACTTTTAAGGCAAATCAGAAATTTAAAAATTTCTGATTTGCCTTCACTTGTCTATATGCTAGGCAATGGTTCCACTCATGGCTGCAACGGTGGCTCTTCTTCGCAGAGGTAGGGGTGCTACGACAGCTCCAGCACGGCAGCAGGTGCAGCGTAGCACGTTCACGTAATTTTTACGGAAACTCTTGTTGAGCACACCGTAAATTACAGGATTAAAAGCGCTGCTTATAGTGAGTAAAAATGTTTTTGCCACGTAAACTTCGCGGGGGAACGCCAATCTTTCGTATATCGTGTCCACAAAATGGACGAACACAACTGGAATCCAACACAGATTATAAAACAGCACTATAACGAATATGGTGCGAACCACCTTGACATCTTGTACGTTTACCGAGCTTATTGGATTGCCGGAGAGATGAAAATTTCTGTTGTGGTTGCGAACTGTTGTGAAGATTCTAAAGTAGCAGTAAAGGGTAACACAGGTTGGAATGCCCATGTAAAGCGGAATACCAAAGGCCGTAAAGGCACTGTTTTCGACTGGATAAAAACAGAAGAACTTGGAAGGATAAAATACCATTTTGTGACCACTTAGCACGAAGGGCAATGGACCACAACAGATCGAATAGAACCACGTGGATAGAATCATAATCATGGCTTTCTTCTTAGTGAAGTAGCGTTGATATCTTGATGGTTTGACAATTCTGTAATATCTGTTCACTGCCATCAAACACAATGTGTAAATCGAAGCCACATTTAATGTTATGACTATAATCCCTTGAAATTGGCAGGCAGTATTGTTAAACGGCCACTGAGATGTCAATAGTGCAGGAAGGGATAAAGGACCCGCTGTTAAAATTCCTGTTAATAAGTCTGAAAGAGCGAGAGATGTCACGAACATGTTTGGAATAGTCCGCATTTGTCGGTTTAGCAGCATAACCAGGAGTGTTAATGAGTTTCCAAAGAATAAAAACAACAAAACGAGCATATACAGCCCTGATTCCAGAACGACTTTGGCTTGGCTTCTTGATTTGAACTCTCTTAACATTTCTGCCATTTGGTTCTGTGTGGAATTCATTTTTTTTAGCTTCAAAAAGTTCCAGCTAGATAAAATTTAAGAAAAAGGGCTAGGGTTAAAGAAGACCATCAATAGAGTACAGTCGAACCTCCCGTAACAGATCACCCAGAAAGCGTAAACTTACGGTCGTGACGCGACGGTAGGTGTTCGTATACGAGAATCGAGAACAACTGGTCTCTTGGAAGAAAATTTATTGCATGCAATTCCTTATAACTTACGAAATGTGGAGTTCGCAATTTCGCATCCATGTTGTCGATGAAAATTTAATTGCATACGCTTACTAGCGTCTTTCATACAGCACAGAGAGTCAGACCACGTGGTCGAATAATGGCTTTCACCGAGGTGGTCGTAGTCGCTAGCGGGAGATGGTCGTTTACGAGAGGTTCGAAGTAATGGCTTTGACTGGAAAAAATGATGTGTTTAGAAGGATTTTAATAAATACATGCATGCTAATATCTCAAAAGTTTTTATACCTACAAGAAAATCAAAAACATAATTCATACAGTTCTACCAGTCGTTATGTAGAATCCAAACTGGTTTATGGGGAACTCGTGGATAAGTTGGATACGTTGAGACGTTGTTCAGAAAATAGAGAAGTCAGATGATTAAAGAAAAATTGTTCAAAGTTGAAATGATAAGCCAAGGAAAATTTCGCGGACCGTAAAGTAAACTTTAATGCTTGTCAACACTACCTGTTTAAGAGAAAAACATTGCGGAACATGCCTCGCGTACATCCACGAGTCAAAAACGAGGGTATTTTCCTTCATGACATGGTCTTTCACACCCCTCTGTGACAGAGACTTGGTGACACCTGATTGTTCCCCAAGGAACTAAACAAAACGTCTATAAGGGCGGACTTAAACTGCACCAGGTCGATTCAGTTTTTCACCAGGAAGACAATTGCCGCCCGACTAAAGTTTCACCTCATATAAGTACAATATGCAACACTCAGCATCCCAGTGATATTCAAGTTAACAAAAGTTTTGGTAGCGGTAAGAAGCCCGATACATTTTCTCCACGCCTTGAAACTGCTAGCAATTTTTTCACTTTGACTGTTGTTTTCTGGGGTAACAATTCCAATTACTTTGAGCGACAACAACGTCTATTAGTAGTGAGTCACCCCTCAGCATTGAATATTACATTTCGAAAGCATCGACTACGACGCTTAAGAGTGTATGTAGAATGCACGTGCTCTTTCATTTATGTAAATTATACAATGAAACAAAAAATAGGGTTAAAATCTTAACCACCAAGTTTTAAAGAAACACATTGCCAGTATAGATTCCCTTACGATAGCGAATATGGGAAAACGATCATTTTCAATTTGTCCTCTGAATTTTCCAATCACGTCCGNTTGACTGTTGTTTTCTGGGGTAACAATTCCAATTACTTTGAGCGACAACAACGTCTATTAGTAGTGAGTCACCCCTCAGCATTGAATATTACATTTCGAAAGCATCGACTACGACGCTTAAGAGTGTATGTTGAATTCACGTGCTCTTTCATTTATGTAAATTATACAATGAAACAAAAAAAAGGGTTAAAATCTTAACCACCAAGTTTTAAAGAAACACATTGCCAATACAGATTCCCTTACGATAGGGTACGGTAGCGAATATGGGAAAACGATCATTTTCAATTTGTCCTCTGTACACTGCTTTATAAGGTTCCCTGCCTGTCGTTAGCATGCACTCTTATTATAGCAATCTGAATGAATTAAAGATTTCTGGATGAGTCGTACTTCTGTGATTTAAATTCTCTTTGTATGGGTTCCGAAATGCTACCATTCGCAACTTAAAACCAATTCTCAAATCGGGCACCTCAGTCTACACCGTAAACTACAATACGCATTAATTAGCTGAACATCACCAGTTGCTAACACAATGTTACTAAATCGTATATTTCCAGAGAGAGATCCATATCTGGGATACAATAATAATGTCTTTCGCACGCGTACGGCTCCATCAATCATCACACAAGAAAAATCATCAAACATCGACTACTGAATTTGTTACATCCAGTGCTGGAATCACTGCTGATTACTGCAATCTTATTCGCCCTCATCAGAAAGATTCATTCACGAATCACACTAAATTTTGCTCTTTATTACATTCATTTTGGTAATTCTTTGGTGTTCGCCATTCTGGTGATTCACCATTATGGTGATTCTTGCGATCTTATTGGCACTAAGCAATGTGATTGTTTCACCACCGCCACATTTCTATTGTTTTCCCTCCAACCGTTGATCAATCACACCTTTTTCTCTAAATAGCGCATCATTCATTTTCTAAATAAATGGCGTCATTTCTGATATTAATCGCATCATTTCCGTTTCGCAAACAAAATGAGATGTAAAACCGTTCTCGTTTCCCCTTTCGACAGATCGGCTAATAGATTAATGAAACAATGGTAATGACTGAATTTTGTGATTTTAAATGGCTGTAATGAAGTGATAATTTATCTTCCTGTCTTGTACTTTGGGTCTGAAATCATACTTTTGGTTTCAAATCGAATTCGCACTGAGAGTTCACACGAATGAATTCAGACCGAATTGTACTCAACTGAGTCCAATTACCATTATAATAAATTTCCATACACCATCAAGCGATGTTCAAGATGCTTTCCACGTTATGACACTCTCAAAGCAAAGGTTTCATCCGATCTCTTGACGACCAAATGGACTATTTTCAGATACTCTCAACGGTCATGCAGGGTGACATTAAGGCACCATCTCTATTTGTCATCATGCTCGATTACGAGAAAAGACCCATAAATATAGAGGAAGAGCAGTGACGGCATTGTGCTTCTGTTCGATGAAATTAGGTAAGGAAGGCAGCTTTTACGCAATGTAGAGATAAGTAAGGTGGGGCTGTTGCTGAATGCGAAAGATATTTATTTTTATTAGGACAAAGAGGATATATTGACAAATGATGGCAGACAGGGGACCAAGATTTCAAATACCTGGTCAATTTGATTTTAAAAAGACAAGGCTGTCAAAGCGAGGTTGCTATGATAATGTGAATGTTCAAGCGCACGACAAGACGACTTTAAAATATTCCCAGGTAATTTTTAGAACTTTTAGGTGAGGGGAAAGGGTTCAAAAACCTTCCGGTCAAAAAAGGGTTAAATTCGCAAAGCACTGGCCTCGCATAATCACTGACAAAAATGACCATAATTTGGAAAAATGACTCGGCCGAGACAAGATCAAGCTGAGATTATTCAGTTGTAGTTGTTTATTATATAATACTATGGATAAACGATACATGTTTGTCCCAAAGCTGTGATATTTCTTCCTTCTTTTCTCATTTAATTACAAGTTAAGTTTCCTCAATAGCGTCGGTTTCGTAGCGAGGTTATAACAGTAAACAAAATAGAAGAGACTGACGTGACACCATCCCTACAGTTCCCATTTATCCATTCTGATCTTCCAATGGTAACCTCCCCACAACATTCCTCGTTCCGCGTAAAGCTAAAGGTTCCACGACAGCTTGAGATCGGCAGTATCTGCAGCGTAGCACTTTCAGATAATTCCTGCGAAAACTCTTATTCATGACTCCATAAATTAAAGGATTCAAGGCGCTGCTTATAGTGGCCAAAAACGTATATGCCACATAAACCTCAGAAGGAAAATTATATCGTTGGGAAATCGTATCCACAAAGTCAATTGTTAAGATTGGAATCCAACACAGATTAAAGAACACCACGATTATAAGTAAGGTGCGAGCCACCTTAACTTCTTCTACGTTTACCGAACTTATTGGATTTCCAGGGAGATGAAAATTGCCATAATTGTGGTTGCGAACAGTTGTAAAGACTCTAAAGTAGCAGTAAACAATAACACAGGTTGGAATACCAATATAAAGCGGAATACCGTAGGCTACGAATGCCCCTTTTTTGATTGGAAAAAAACAGAAGAACTTGGAAGGAAGAAAGACTATTTTGTTTCCACTTAGCACGTAAATTAATGGAGCACAAATGGAATACAACCAGGACACAAGAATAATAATTAGCGTTTTCTTCTTGGTGAAGTAGCGTCGGTACTTTGTGGGTTTTACAATTCTGTAATATCTGTTCACTGCCATCAAGACCAATGTGTGAATCGATGCCGCAGCCAACATACCAACTACGTAACCTTGAAATTGGCAGGTTGTGTCGTTAAACGGCCAATGGGAAGTCACTAATGTTGGAATGGATAATGGAGCTACACTGAAAACTCCTATTAATAAGTCGGAAACAGCGAGTGACGCTACGAACATGTTTGGAATTGTTCGCATCCGTCGGTTTAACATCATAACCAAGAGCGTTAGACAGTTTCCAACAAACAGGAACAATACAATAAGAACGTATAAACCTGATTCTAGAATCACTTTGGTTTTGCTTCTTGATTTAAACTCTCTTGACATTTCTGCCATTTGGTTCTCTGTGGAGTCCATTTTCTGTAGCGTTTAACCCGTTCCTGGTAAATAGAAAAATACACTCAAAGAGTCAAACGAGGTCGGTGAAAGGGCTGAGGTATTATTGTTCCAACAGGCGGACTGCAGAGGAAGCCCAAACTAGGAGCACTATTGAGTGTTTCTCTCCACTGGAAAAATGTCCTCTGTTATTTCAGGCAATTATCAATGATTTACTTGTGTTACCAATACAACAACCGTCTTTGCAGTACAAACAGTGGAAACATATTCGTCTAAGTATATAATTCTCAAAGTTGAACCGTAAAGGAAAAAGTGATTGGCTACCTGATTCAGCCAGACCTAAAAGCGGAGCTGCGTTAACATTCTAAGCCATCCACTAGGATCAATGTTCTCTAAAACAGCTCCCTTGTGGCACAGTCCAGGTCACTTTTCACTGTAGATTGAAACTAATGCTTTATAGAACTGAGCTGTAAGATCGACTATTGTACCGCCTCTAACTGCAATTGATCCTCGAGTCCAGTATTTATATCCTAGTTTTAATAAACGAGGGGCAGGTGTTTCTGCGACAAGTGAGGTGGATTTTGCTGCAAAAGTCATGCAGAACAATACTAACAATTTAAGAAAGCAATAAAATGATAATTTCCTGTCCGTACTCAAAACACCATAAAAACGTTCACCCGCCTCAACTGAACGTCATCAGACACAATGAAAATGCGAATTTAAGAAGGAATATATCACATTCAGTAGGGTCTCGAGAGGGCTGAAAATGTGTCTGCAATTGCCTTTATTCAAAGTGGGGCTTTCGTGACCGGATCTCAATAGAGAGGAGAAGTGTAACGTCACTAACGTCAGTTTACCATGGTAGCAAGATTTGTGGATGTCAACAATCTTTCTTGACAGAGACGGCCATATGATTTTCGAACGATGGAAGAAAAGTATGGTCTAACGTTTTGTTCCTGAGTGCAATCATGATGCACTGGAAAGTCATACATCTCAATTATTTTTTATCTGTCTGCCATATTTGCAGGACCACGGTTTTATTGAGATCCAGATATTTTGTTACCATGGCTTTTCATAAAACGTATTGCTTTCAGGGGCAAGAAGTTCTGTTTCGCTGGAATCCTGAATTGCTGGTTTTCAGCCCTTGCTGGTTGACTATACTTATCGTCAGTTATTTGTATGTTATTTTATTCACTCATTCAACTCTTAACTTCTCATAGAAGCCGAACACCTGGTGTTTGCCTCTGCCGTTTTCAGTCATTTTAACGTAGTTTAATTACTCTATAAGACGGAAACCTCTCTAAGATGAACAAAGTACACTTTGAAACCACCAAAGAAAACTTGGGAAGTGATTTTTCTGTTGAAAAAATACCATTACCTTATATTAAATTCGAAATTTGTGCGGTCCTGAAATTTCGATCTGGGGAAGTAAAATTCGTTTTTTATTACTATTATCTGTAAATTTATCTTGGTCTTTTTAGATGTTAAACTTTATTTTTTGTACATGTATTAATGTTTTTTAGCTTTGTAACTAATTTACCTCGTTATTTTTAGCTTTTAAGTTTTACGTTTTTAAAAAGCATAATCATTGTAATAGCCCTGTGAAAGCGTAGCTGAATAGCGCGATACAAATTATTATTATTATTATTATTATTATTATCATCATTATTTTATTTTTGTTCTAGTTTGTATCTAGGTTTTGCTGTATAAGGTACTACTCTAAAAACAGACCTAAAACATTCGTGTATTCATCGTGCAAAGGTTAAGCTTTATTATCTAAGAACAACTGGTGTCTTGTTACCTCGACTCTCCTCTATAAACCGGACACCTCTCTAAGACAGACAGTTATGGCCGATACCAATGGTATCCGTCAAGATTAGAGAAAGTTGATTGTATAACACAAGAAAAACTCCTCAGGGGCTTAAATGATGGATAATGCCTGAGCTCCAAGCACAATGCCAGGTTATCATTTTTAAGAAAGCCGAGACACAAGAACATTACCGATTTAATGCACCTTTACATTGATTCAGAACCAGCTGGTCATTATAAATGTATGAGAGTTGGAACAGGAGGTCTTTAATAATAACAATGACCTGTCCTGTTTCAATAACGACCTTACAACTTACTACTCTATTTAATAGACCCAGGCCCTTATTCGAGTCCGGTTGTTGAATCGATGAACTACTCAGGAAAGAATCATCAAATTTGATTAAAACTTAAATTACTGATTTGCCTCCACTTGTCTATATACTAGGCAATGGTTCCACTCATGGCTACAACGGTGGCTCTTCCTCGCAGAGGTAGGGGTGCTACGACAGCTCCAGCACGGCAGCAGGTGCAGCGTAGCATGTTCACGTAATGTTTACGGAAACTCTTGTTGAGCACACCGTAAATTACAGGATTAAAAGCGCTGCTTATAGTGAGTAAAAATGTTTTTGCCACGTAAACTTGGCGGGGGAACGCCAATTTTTCGTATATCGTGTCCACAAAATGGACGAACACAACTGGAATCCAACACAGATTATAAAACAGCACTATAACGAATATGGTGCGAGCCACCTTGAAATCTTGTACGTTTACCGAGCTTATTGGATTGCCGGAGAGATGAAAATTTCTGTTGTGGTTGCGAACTGTTGTGAAGATTCTAAAGTAGCAGTAAAGGGTAACACAGGTTGGAATGCCCATGTAAAGCGGAATACCAAAGGCCGTAAAGGCACTGTTTTCGACTGGATAAAAACAGAAGAACTTGGAAGGATAAAATACCATTTTGTGACCACTTAGCACGAAGGGCAATGGACCACAACAGATCGAATAGAACCACGTGGATAGAATCATAATCATGGCTTTCTTCTTAGTGAAGTAGCGTTGATATCTTGATGGTTTGACAATTCTGTAATATCTGTTCACTGCCATCAAACACAATGTGTAAATCGAAGCCACATTTAATGTTATGACTATAATCCCTTGAAATTGGCAGGCAGTATTGTTAAACGGCCACTGAGATGTCACTAGTGCAGGAAGGGATAAAGGACCCGCTGTTAAAATTCCTGTTAATAAGTCTGAAAGAGCGAGAGATGTCACGAACATGTTTGGAATAGTCCGCATTTGTCGGTTTAGCAGCATAACCAGGAGTGTTAATGAGTTTCCAAAGAATAAAAACAACAAAACGAGCATATACAGCCCTGATTCCAGAACGACTTTGGCTTGGCTTCTTGATTTGAACTCTCTTAACATTTCTGCCATTTGGTTCTGTGTGGAATTCATTTTTTTTAGCTTCAAAAAGTTCCAGCTAGATAAAATTTAAGAAAAAGGGCTAGGGTTAAAGAAGACCATCAATAGAGTACAGTCGAACCTCCCGTAACAGATCCCCCAGAAAGCGTAAATTTAGGGTCGTGACGCGACGGTAGGTGTTCGTATACGAGAATCGAGAACAATTGGTCTCTTGGAAGAAAATTTATTGCTTGCAATTCCTTATAAGTTACGAAATGTGGAGTTCGCAATTTCGCATCCATGTTGTCGATGAAAATTTTTTTTGCATACGCTTACTAGCGTCTTTCATACATCACAGAGAGACCACGTGGTCGAATAATGGCTTTCACCGAGGTGGTCGTAGTCGCTAACGGGAGATGGTCGTTTACGAGAGGTTCGAAGTAATGGTTTTGACTGGAAAAAATGATGTGTTTAGAAGGATTTTAATAAATACATCCATGCTAATATCTCAAAAGTTTTTATACCTACAAGAAAATCAAAAACATAAGTCATACAGTTCTACCAGTCGTTATGTAGAATCCAAACTGGTTTATGGTCTTTATGGAGAACTCGTGGATAAGTTGGATACGTTGAGACGTTGTTTAGAAAATAGAGAAGTCAGATGATAAAAGAAAAATTGTTCAAAGTTGAAATGATAAGCCAAGGAAAATTTCGCGGACCGTAAAGTAAACTTTAATGCTTCTTAACACTACCTGTTTAAGAGAGAAACATTGCGGAACATGCCTCGCGTACATCCACGAGTCAAAAACGAGGGTATTTTCCTTCATGACATGTTCTTTCACACCCCTCTGTGACAGAGACTTGGTGACACCTGATTGTTCCCCAAGGAACTAAACAAAACGTCTATAAGGGCGGACTTAAACTGCACCAGGTCGATTCAGTTTTTCACCAGGAAGACAATTGCCGCCCGACTAAAGTTTCACCTCATATAAGTACAATATGCAACACTCAGCATCCCAGTGATATTCAAGTTAACAAAAGTTTTGGTAGCGGTAAGAAGCCCGATACATTTTCTCCACGCCTTGAAACTGCTAGCAATTTTTTCACTTTGACTGTTGTTTTCTGGGGTAACAATTCCAATTACTTTGAGCGACAACAACGTCTATTAGTAGTGAGTCACCCCTCAGCATTGAATATTACATTTCGAAAGCATCGACTACGACGCTTAAGAGTGTATGTAGAATGCACGTGCTCTTTCATTTATGTAAATTATACAATGAAACAAAAAATAGGGTTAAAATCTTAACCACCAAGTTTTAAAGAAACACATTGCCAGTATAGATTCCCTTACGATAGCGAATATGGGAAAACGATCATTTTCAATTTGTCCTCTGAATTTTCCAATCACGTCCGTATTTAATTTATGGAAAAAAATTTGTAAAGATGCAAGCTTGATACCTTCTGTGGATCGCCTTGACATGATTTTCAAACTATATTTTAAGTATCTACTCCTTACTCTGATCATAGGCCAATAGCCTGTAATTTCATATTGCTCTCCTGGTTTTAAATTGAATGGACAACTCAAGCTTATTTAAAGCGAGATTTAAGAAATAATAATAATGATAATAATAATAATAATAATAATAATAATACACTTTATTTAAAGAGGGTAGCACGGAATAGTTACAGAAACTAGTAAACTTGTGGCCCTCTATCTAAAATTAAAATTACAAAAAGCATAAGATTCAGAATATACAAAGTCTAAGTATAAAATAAATAAAACTAGGAAATATAGAAGTTTTACATCAATATGAATGAGCATATGAGCAATGAGCATAAAAAAGAAAGCAACTCAAAGGCTCAATTTAAATGCATCTTTTTTAGAAAATCGCCGAAGACTTACGTCTCAGCGTTAGTTTAGTCGCTATAAAAAAAGGAGCGGCAGCGGATTCTGGAGAATGCGATCCAGATAGTACTCTGCTAACTTAGTACGAGCTGAACAGAGAGACTTGATTATTTTTTTGAAGGGATCAACTAGTCCCCGTCAAAGCTCCTCTTCCAGCAAAACTGTTAAGCCAAACAGTTTTTTATGTTTATTTCGATTGTTTGTGACACTCACGGGGACTTGTTTGTCACCCAGGTAGTTGCCCCCGCAGAGATTTCGCTCAGAAGGCGAAATCCCGAGGAGGCACTCCGACTAGTAACTCGCGCGTATATTAAGGAAAGTACATACGGTTGAAATATACAGTCATACAGTCAATATAGAAAAAATCTCGATTTGCTTGAACAGGGGCCGCGAGGAATCGGTTGGTAATGATGACGTTTCTATTGTTTGCGCCCGCAAGTACGAAATGGTTAGGATGACAAACAGAAAATCCCGAAGGGACCGCTCTGGTAGATTTTGCGACATTTATTGTGCAGTCATACTTCGATACTCTTTTGAGTTACACAGTGACATTCTGTGGAGTGGTTGTTTTGAAAGTTATGGACCAAAAGACAGCTCAGATGAGGTTATAAGGTGCGTTTAACTGTGTATATATAAAAACTTGGAGAGTTTACCAGACACGAGTTCACAAATCTTTGATTTATATTGGAAACCTTGCCGGACACTCTTTCTCTCTCTTTGACCGGAATAAGACGGAGCCCCAAATAAGCAAGACGAGTGAACAAAGGCCAGCTTATCACTAGCAGAACGATGGACGATTACAGAAATTCGCCGACCACCAAATTCTGTGCAGACTTATTCCTTGCTCACCAGTCCAGGATCGTTATCAAATTTGATACTTGAACATGTGACGTCACAACATCGTGGCCATTTCAAAAGTCGGGAATTTTCGTACTCGCCTTGCTTTATCCGAGATTTTGTCGGATCTTATTCAGTGTAAACTCGTCAGGTACCCATGGTTCTGTTCGGCAAGGCCGAGATTCACATGATTCAAAGTGGCAGATGTGTATCACTTGTCGCGGAGTTCCGCGGAGAACTGAAAACTAGCTAGGAGGCCTGGCTTCAAAGGAGGCTTGGCTACTCAGTAGAGAGATAGAAACTGTGACTTGAAAACGTGGTCGAAGCAAACATTGACTGAGATTCGTTTAATTTCTTGTAGTGTTAACAAAAGTTTATTTCAAAAGTTTAGTATTCGCATCCTTGGCGACATGTGGTAGCAGAGCGAGGTTGTAAACCGTTTGTACGTGGAACATGAGCGGATGTATTCGTCAGCGTTTAGGTCCGACGAAGAAGCGACTGAAGGATCGAATTAAACAAACTCAAGCCTTCCTCCAACACGATGCTACTCTGGATGAAAGTGAGAACAAAGCCAATCAGTTACTCCTCAAGTTGGGAGGAAACCTCAAATCTTATAAAGATTTACTTGAACAGCTACAAGAATCATCCTAGGAAGACGAAGCTAAAAGCCAGCGACTGGAAAATGAAATGGAGGAGTTCAGTATTCTCGAGCTTGATGGAGACGAGGCCATTTGCGATGTTAAAACACTTCTGATAAATATTGCTAAACGAAAACAAGAGACAACTGAAAAGGAAGAAAAACAGAGGGAAAGAGCTCATGAAAGAGAACTTCAAATGGAAAAACTTCAACAAGAAAAGGACCTTCACCTTGCAAAACTTAATCAAGAGAAAGAGATTCAAATGGAAAAGATGAAGGTGGAATTGGGAATTTTGAAGCAGAATGAAATAGACAAACAGCGTGAACATGAACTAAAGAAATTGGAGGTGGAACTGGAAGCTAAAAGGAAGTTAGCTCAAGCTGAAAAGGAAATGGAGCTCAAAAGAACAACTGCAGATATAGAACTTAATATGAAAGCAGAAATGGAACAAAAATGTCTTGAATTGGAAAAACAGTTTGATGTTCCAATTACTCTCACACTCCCACTATCAAGCTTCCCAAACTGGAACTTCAAAAATTTGATGGAAATATTTTGAAGTGGCAAGAAATTTGGGACTCTTTTGAAGCCTCCATTCACAAGAATCCAAACCTTCAGCCTGTGGACAAATTCAACTATTTAAGAGCTGAAATAGAAGGAGATGCAAGTGTAGTTATCTCTGGACTGGAACTAACTAACACCAACTACGAAGTAGCGGTAAATTTACTCCAAGAGAGATTTGGAAGAGATGAACTCATGATGGATGCTCACTACTCAGCGTTAATGGATCTTCCCGTTTCTTTAATTAACACTGCCAAACTTCGTTATGACATGATTGAGAAGCATCTTCGTTCTCTTAAAGCCCTCGGTGAAAATGTGGACCAGCCACATTTTGTTTTCCTCATTAAGTCAAAGCTGCCAAAGACAGTGATATCCCGGATGGAAGAGTACAAGGACATGGAGGAGAAGTGGACTGCTGATCCCTGCAATCTTATTCGCCCTCATCAGAAAGATTCATTAACGAATCGCACTTTCTTTGCTCTATGTTACATTCATTTTGGTAATTCTATGGTGATTCGCCTTTGTGGTGATTCACCATTATGGTGATTCTTGCGATGTTATTGGCACCAGGCAATGTGATTGTTTCACGGTTGATCAATCACACCTTTTTCTCTAAATCAGATCTGTTCGAAAGCGCATCATTCATTTTCTAAATAATTGGCGTCATTTCTGATCTCAATCGCATCATTTCTGTTTCGCGAACAAAATGAGATGTAAAACCGTTCTCGTTTCCCCTTTCGACAGATCGGCTAATAGATCAATGAAACAATGGTAATGACTGAATTTTGTGATTTTAAATGGCTGTAATGAAGTGATAATTTAACTTCCTGTCTTGCACAATGGGTCTGAAATCATACTTTTGATTTCAAATCGAACTCTCACTGCGTACTTGTCCGATTTTAAGATCATACGTATGAATTCAGACCGAATTGCACACCACTGACAGTCCAATTACCATTATTTCTATACTTCAAGAATACATTAGACTCCATTCACCATCAAGCGATGCTTTCCACGTTATGACACTCTTAAGAGAAACATCAATGCGACCATTCTAATGTACATCAACATCAAAGCAAAGGTTTCATCCGATCTCTTGACGGCCAAATGGACTA